CTCTAAAGACAGGTACGAAATGGAAGGTCGGAGATGCCATAGAATCTACTCTGAAAGCACTGACATTAAGGGAAGTTTTGGGTTACACACAAATCAACCGAAGCGTACTGGGCAAGGACAAAAGACTTGATGGTCCAAATCCTGGGCTTAAGAACGCTGTGACAAGGTAACACAGCAAATCAGGGACTTCGAAAAAGATTCGTGTCCAAAAAGCTGCCAATCAAGGCCAGAGGATAGTCGAGAGCGCCTGGTGAATGGCCCCACTAGGACTGAGCTTTGTCATAACTTCAGCATATGTTATGCTTCCCTCTGGCGCCAACATGGTCAAATACTATGCGGCCACTCACCCGACATGTCCCCTATACAGAGCTAAGCAGACGTTGTTTTCCGCAGGTAGGTGTAGTGAATCTCATTTTCTCCTAGATAAATTATGCTCTACACCGGATGACGTCAGTAATAAATGTGAGTGGAATATTTTTATCTGTAACATCAGGTAACTCTTCATTACATGAGTTTGTATCAAGTACATCATTATTTGATCTTCTAAAATATGGTTTAGGCATGTTTACCAGAAACATTTTGAGCTTTCCATCAATTTTGATTTCATAATCAACATCAGAAATCTTTCTTGTAACAACAAAAGGACCTAACCGTTCTATACATAATTTGTTTGACTGTTTGGGTAACAATAATAACACTTCATCTCCAGGGTTATATTTGACAAGTCTTGCTGTTCTGTTCGCATACTGTCGCTGTTTCAGACTGGCTACTTGCATTGTTTCTTTTGCTTGTTGACAGGCAATCATTATTTTTTTTCTTAGATCTTTCACTGATTCATAGGCTGATTTTTCTGTTTCTGTTTCCAATTTTCCTGTGATGAGCTTATTATATATCTGCAGAGGCCCTCGTGGATTTGCCCAATATAGCAGTTCAAATGGCGAAAAACCTTTTGAGCTATGAGGAATTTCTCTATATGCAAACATAAAGGCAGGTAATAAAGTATCCCAAGACTGCGGATGTTCAAATGATATTCTGGCAAGCATTGTTTTTATGGATTTATTTAAATTTTCAACTAAGCCATTAGCTTGTGCGAGATAAGGTGTTGTGAAATTTTGTTTGATTCCTAACCAGTTGTTAAAAGCTTCTGTAGCCCAAGATGTAAACTGAGTACTTTTGTCCGAGGTAATAACTTCTGGAAAACCCACCCTTGAAAAAATTGTTAACAATGCCTCCTGAATATCGTTTGATGTTATAAATTTCAGAGGTACACACTCAGGCCATTTTGTGGCAACATCAATAACAGTCAAAATAAAACTGTTTCCCTTTGCTGAAGTCACTGGTAATGGGCCAACAATATCAATTGCAACTTGTTCAAATGGTCTTGATGCTATCAGACCTGTTTGTACTGGAGCCTTTGGGTTCTCTCCTTTTTGTGTGGTTTTAGCACAGGTATCACAGGATCGAACATGATTTTTCACATCTTTCGAAAACCCAGGCCAATAAAATGTAGATAGAATCCTCCTTGTGGTTTTTGTTATTCCCATGTGTCCAGCGAAAATGGAATCATGTGCTAAAGATAGAGCTTTTGGTCTGAATTTTTGTGGTAGCACCGTCTGTTTGTAGACTTTTGGACCTTTCTGATATATTCTGAGTAGCACATTCTTAGATAAAATAAATTTCCATGTTGCAGATCTTTTTACAACTGGTCAGCATGAATTAAATCAAAACATTTCTTTAGTGATGGGTCACACACTTGGGCATCTTGAAATTCTGTTTTGGCTGTGATTGCTTTCTTTTGTAATGGGTACCAGTTCTTTAGTTAGGTTTTCTTCTTTCAGCTTTTGTTGTATGGTATCAGTCATGCTACTGGTTACTTCAGCAGCTGGTTGGGGTGCATTTGGGTCAGATAATTGCATTAGATCAGTAACATATGACTGAAATTTGTCATGTTCACATACTTTTAGCTTGGTTGAAACTGGGTTATTTACTTTCTCACTATTCATCGACATCTCTCTTTCATTCAGTATCAGTGGTGTATTTTTAACACCCACTAACTTATCATTCGCGTCTTTTGCATTCTTTACTTCTTTCATACCTTTATCCTTGCATACTATGGTCTCATTCTTTTTCATGTTCATTCTTTTCATACTGATACTCTCACTGACTCTTGTGGACCAATTGACTGCTCCCTGTTTTGGAAACAATCACTTTCATCCATTTGTATTACTGCATTCACACTATGGCAAAAATGTTGATCACTGGTAATCATTTTCTCACTTTCTTTCAATTCTTTGATGTTTTCTCTTTCCCACTGAAAAATTTCTTGCTCAGACATTTCTTTCAAACCTTTTTCATTCCCCAAAATTAATCCTGCACACGGTGCTGACAGAACTGCTACTCGCAACTTGCCTTGAAAAAAAAAGGTATTTTGACATTAACAACTGCTAATTTATATTTCTCAATGGTGCCTCCAAATGTTCTACAATTAACAAATTTGTTAGTAATATCTTCAGGATTGATAAGATCTTTGTGAATACCTGAAATTGTAGCTCCCGTGTCTCTCAATATTGTAGTTATTCTGCCATTTATGATACCTTTGCATAATTTCAAAGTTCCATGTATATTTGTGGCTGAGTTGACTTCTTGTATGGGTATATTATGGCCACATGAAAGGCTATCTTTTTCATGGAATTGTTGGCATACAGGACAGGTTTCATAATTTTCAATTGTTACTGCATTGGTATCAAATGGTTCACTGTCTGAATCTGAGTCGGACATTTCTTGTCCTATGTTGGCTTCTTTAAACTTTTTTCCTGAATAAACAATCCCGTTTAAAATTATTGTAACATCCACAGTTGAAACATTTAATGGCATCTTTATACAATTTTAACCTCAGTGTTCTTCTATCAAACAATTTCTTTATATAGTTTTCATAGCCTGGATTTCTGTCACACATTTTATCATTTGGATGAGATTTTTGACAATATTTGCTGTACATTATTTGCCATTTTTGTTGAACGTGGTTTTGTTTCTGTGTGGGGTTGCACCTTGGTTGTATTTGCTTTTCTCATAGCTGGCACTAGATCCAGTTTCAATGACTGGTACCGGGTTGGAAATGAAAATTTCTCGATAGGCCGAAAAATAATTATCCCCTAAGTTTTCCAACTCCTTAAATGGGTTTGGTTTGTTTTCTCTTAAGAATGTTGACATTGGTTAAGGCAAAGATTCCAACATTTTATTCCCTAATAATAAATCTACTAACAATTTATAGTTATCCCTAACATTGGCCGAATCAATCCATTTGTCAAAAATGTTCTGAACTTCTGAAAGATAATCCGTGAACGTCTGATCAGGCTTTGGCTTTAGATCAAGAAACTTTTTCCTATACCCTGCTTCATGCAAGTCGTAGCGTCGCATGATGCGATTTTTAAAATAGTCAAAGTCTAATCTTAGATGTTCATGGACTGTTTCTAAGATCTTTAATAGTTAAAATGCTAAGTGTTTTTGAAATATATTGGCCCACTGGTGTTTTGGAACATCATGAAAGCGCATTTGCAAAAGGAAACAAGATATATAACTCCCAAAGTCATCCTTCTCAGATAAATTTCTAACTATGCCTGCATATTTTTTGAATTTATTTTCTTCTTCTCTCATTCTTTCTTTTTGAATAGCAGCTTCTCTTCTGGAGTCATTTTGCATTTCTTTAGTTCTTATTTGTGCTTCTGCCTTTTCTTTTTCGGTCTGAATGGAAGTATCTATCTTTTTACGTGCCAATTGCATTTCTTGTTCTTTTAATATTCCTACTTGTTCCAGCTGTTTATTTTTCATCTCCATCTCTTGTCTTTTCAATTTCGAACATGGTGGACCAAGCCAGGATGAGAGCCAACGCACGCCCATGTGCCTCCCCATGCGCCTCCTCAAAGCTGGGCAGATTTCTAAATTCAACAAGGTCACATATGCTCCGTTGATACTTGAATTTGCGAAGGCCTGGTAAATGGCGGTCAACATGCATGGTTTCAAGAAATACCCATAATGAATCCGAATGACTTGCTTGAGGCCAGACATGGTTTTGCACTCTGGGGCAAAATGACAGCTCACCTTGATAGAACTTAGTCGCGGATAGAAAAAAAGTCACCTGTGCAAGCTCAGAATGTACACGGATCTGGTGGCCAGTCTGAGGGCTAAGGAGCCAAGGGGCGTACAATTAAAACTCTTCGCCGTCGATGTAGGCGCAAGAGAACTAATTTCCACCTAAACATACACTGTACTAAAGAACCTGGGCTTGGAAGGAAAGGAACGGAAGTGGGCGCTAAAACAACTTGTGGAAGCGGCTGAAAGGGCTTCGAGCTGGCCGTGGACACAACGGAACGTTGTTGGGGATGGGCTTTGGTAGACTGGTCCTAGCGCCTAGGGGAAATAACTTTACAACCCTAAAAGCTAAAGTGTCCGACTAACGTCTGCCAGTGTCTCTTTGCCAAATGCCAAATTCTAACGTCTATCTGATCAACCAACCGTTTACTAATCCCTCTGGTCGTGAAGGTAGACGACTAATTTTGCTGCCGCAGCGACGATATATAACACCAAACCTCATAATACCTGTTGCAAACCACTATTTCGTTTTATCCCATTGTCTGATAAGCGCACAAGGAGATGTCTGTGAGTTATGAACCAGGCCGGCCCACCAACTGTCTAGGAGGATAATTGGTCAAAATAATTGTCGACGAGGAACCCGCCAATTGATGATCGGTAGACTCCTGCAGTGCATGGTCCTGCCGTAGAGTTCTTTTTATTACACTGGACATTATAGCATGATATCCGAGTTGTGCAGTGAGATTGTCATTTCGCCAGTGTGGTCAGATCAGTTCCCTCCCTCCCCTTTGTGCACATCTCACTAGAGATATAGCTGTTGAAAGATACCAGCCATAAATCAAAAACGATGTCAATCGGTCACACAGGAAAGTTATTTAAGAAGCAGACATTCAGAAGTAACGAGTACTTACTGTCTCATATTCTTCTTCATCTCTGAGGTGTTGGTAGATAAACTTGACACTGTCGATGGTGTTCTTCAGTTCCGTTGTCATCACTATCTCCACTGTCTCCTCTCTATCCCCTTGGCTTGGCCCTGCCCTTGAACTTTCACCCTGTGCTGGCCTCTTCTCCTTCGGATGCCGGTATCGAATGTTCTCATAATCATTCTCATTGGATGACACTGGAGTGTAGCGTGGACTCTCTCTTGAGGCTGGGGTGATGTGTGGGCTATCTGTCGATTCCGTAGTATAGCACGATTTCGCTGGCTGATCTAAGGGTGAAAGCTCTACAAAGTCTCTGCAAGTGCTCTGTTCTGCTTGGCATGGATCAGATGACGCCTCAAATGAGGGCGCCGGCGTAGGTGCACCTTGCCACCGTTTGTAGTGATCTGGTCTGGTCATGAGGAGATATTTGGGCAGTTCTCTGAGGAAGATCACCCTAACCCAGTAAGGCATTTTATGTGTCCGGGGGGTTCTGTAATTTCTGTTTATGATGATGACGGTAGAGAGGATAGCCACGAGATTCATGACGAAGGTGAACAACAAATACTTGGCGATCAGAGGGATGTTGAGGGAGGGCGGCAAAATCTTTGACACCAACAAAAGGAAGACGACCAGAGCCAGGAGAAGAGAGATACACAATGCTATCTTTTCCCCGGCGTCCGCGGGCAGAGCAAAAACGCAGACCGTGACGAAAGAGATGAGTACACATGGGATGATTAGGTTGACCGTATAGAACAACGACTTCCTTCTGATCACAAACTGGAAGATTATCTGCTCTTTGTCATCGCCGTTGACGTCATCCCGGTAAGTTACGATCTTTCCAGGACAGTCGATGATGTCCCAGCTGCCGCTCTTGAGGTAATCCACCAGGTCCAGTTTGTCCCGGTTCTTGTAGAAACTGTATTTGAGAGCCTTGCCTTTATGTGTCCACGAGCCGAACTTCATCTCGCAGATCTGCTGGTCAAACGGAAAGTACTGGACATCGATAGAGCAAGAGCTATGGTAGATGGCTGGTGGTATCCAGTGGACTTCAGAGTTTGCATAGAGGACGCAGTTGGACTTGTAGGTCACTTCAAAGTTTCCGTCTGCACTGGAGAGCAGCATTCAAATAACAAGTTCAGAATACATTAGCAAAAAAAAAGAGCATCAAGACTACAGAATTGCGTGCATTACACACACACACGCGCGAGCACGCAATACACACATACATACACACAATATTTTACTTTAAACTGGATATTTTGTAAACTAAACTGGAATATTTTCAAATCACTTAGAATGATTTTCAAAGCAAACTGGTCAATTTTCTAACAACTTAGGACGTTTTCGTAATCAAAGTGAATGATTTTAAGACCAGCTAATACTTTTTTCCAATCGGACTGCTAGATTTTCACACCACAAGTTTAAACACAATTGGACTGGACGGGTTTAAAACACTAAGGACATGTGCAAAGCAAACTGGCCAGATGAGTTTCAACAACTGATAAATCTCAAACAGACAAATCATGTATTTTGACACAGCGTGTACAGATTTCATTCATTCATTCATTCAGTAGCATGTCCCTCGCGGAACCTCGCTGCCATAACAATCCTCCGGAAAACCTTCCTATCCTGAGCAAGATGTCCTGCGTCTGATACACCCATCTAGAGATCATCTGCCACATCCTGCAACCATCTTCTCCTTGGCCTTCCTCTTCCTCTCTTCCCAGGCAAATACCCCTCCATTATTGTTCTCTCTAGACTTCCATGACGTTTCAAGTGACCAAAATATTTCAATTTTCTTTGTTTTATTGTCTTTACTAACCAACCCTCTTCAATATTCAGCTCTTGAAGTATGGATGCATTTGTTCTTTTCTTTACCCAAGATATTCTTAGAACCTGTCTGTAACATTTATATTCAAATGCATTTATGCGCTGTTCCGCTTGTTTAGTAAGTGTCCAGGTCTCACAGGCGTATGTTGCAATGGGAAAGATGCATGCTCTTAAAAATCTGACCTTTGTAATTCTATCTGTACAATTCCATAATTTATTCAGTTGTTTTAGTCTTTGAAGAGCAATTGATAGTCGCCGTTTAATTTCTTTCATTGTGTCGCCATTGTTGGTAACCAGTGACCCAAGATATTCGAAATTTTCCACCACTTCCAATCTTTCCTCATAAACATATATTTCCTTCTCCATGGCAGTTTTGTTTGTATGCATTATCTTTGTTTTTGCTATGTTAAGAAATAAGTTATGATTTTCACTATTTCTTTGGAGTGAGGTTAATAGGTTTTCTAAACCATTTTGTGATGTTGATAGTAATACTGTATCATCAGCATAACGAATTTCTGGTATTTCATGACCACCGATGTTTAGGGCATCATATTGTTCCTTGTTTAAATCATCTCTTACATTTCTCATTATATTTTCGGCGTACATGTTGAACAAATACGGTGACAGCACACATCCCTGACGGACTCCTTGCTTGATGCCAAACCAGTCTGATGTCTCTCCATCTATTCTGACTGCTGCTTGTTGGTCTTGATAGAGCATTTTAATGAGCTGCACTATATGTGATGGAAAGCCCATATTCCTCATGATTTCCCAAAGCTTCTGATGTTGTACACAGTCAAATGCTTTTGAATAATCCACGAAACATAAGAACAGATTTACATTAAATTCTCTACACTTCTCTATTATTAAACGCATGTTGAATATATGATCTCTTGTTCCTCTTCCCTGTCTAAATCCAGCCTGAGCTACATTAATCTCTTCTTCCATTTTCTTATGCAGTCTTCTCATTATAATTTTTAGTAGAATTTTACTTGCATGACTGATCAGGGCAATAGTTCGATAGTTTGTACATAATTTCATGTCACCCTTTTTTGGTATTGGAATGAAGATAGTTCTCTTCCAGTCTTTTGGCCAAATACCATATGTCCATATCTTTTCACATAATGCATGATAGATTTTTATGCTTTCTTCTCCTCCCGCTTTAATCAATTCAGCTGGTATCTCATCACATCCAGGTGATTTACTATTTTTCAGGCTCCTTATTGCCCATGAAATTTCATCTAATGAAGGTTCGGGTTCTGCCTCTACTGTTACTGGTTATATCATTCATATCTATATCATTCATATCCTCACTGTCATTCATATCATACATTCCGCTGCAGTATTCCTGCCATCTTCCTAGAATTTGTCTAGATTCTGTTAAAGTATTTCCCAACCTGTCACAAATAACATTTAACTGAGGTTGAAAATTTCTTGTCAATAACTTCATTTCCTTGAACATTTCGTAATCTCTTCCATTTTTATGATGCTGCTCTATTTTAATACAGCAATCTTGTACATACTGATTTTTATCCTTTCTTGTGTACTTTCTTATTTCTCGTGTTAAAAATTTATACTTCATCCTACTGTCATTGGTTTCTCCTTTCTTTTTCAGTTCTCTTCGTTGTTTTATTAGTTCTAACATGTATGGTGTGATCCATGGTTTATGTTGCTTAGTCCTGGTGGGTATTAAGTCTTTAGCTGCTGTTATCAAGATATCCCTAGCTTGTACCGCCAGTTCATCAGGTGTCATTTTCTCTTGTACAGACATCAAGACCTCAAAACGGTTCTTCACGTCTACGTTGTATGCATATGATATTTTTG